GGGGTGGGGGGAGGAAAAGGGGGGAAGGAAGAAAGAATGCCTGCGTTACCCATTCCCTCCATGAAGGCCTCGCTTTCCTCGGAGCGGGCGCTCATAACGGAGTGTCCCAAGGATATCTTGTCCATCTTGTCCACTCGGGCCCCTGCAGGGGCTGACACACCAGTTCAGACAGCTGGCTGGCTGGGCTCGAGGAGGGGAGGGCGAGGGACTGGGAGGGGGAGCTCTGGCGTCCCCGCACCCCTCCTTGCCACTGGAGCCAGGGTGGGGGTGGGGGGCGGGGGGTGCACAGGACGCTCCCGATGAGGTGTTTAAGGAAGTGGGCTCGCAAATGAGGGGACAACAGGCCGGTTGCTGGGGGTGGTTCAGCCCGGGGTCCTACCTGCTGGGGTGTCCGATTAATCCTTTGTGCTTCAAGCTCACTGTTGTGGTCTGGTTACTGGGGAGATGAGGGGCCAATGAGACCTGGGGACAGCGGCCAGGGAGGGACCAAGGCCTCGGGGGAGGGTTGAGGGCGGGGGCAGTGAGGCGCTGAGTAGAGGGTGCCTGCAAGGCTGGGGGGCGGGGGATCCCCTCTGAAAAGATGGGCAGAGACCCTCTGGAGGAACTGGGCTGGGAGGCTTAGTGAGCTGTGGGATTAGGGCGGGAAGGTTCTTGAGGGGCGGGGCTGTGAGGATGAGGGTAGGTTTTGAGGGATGGAGCTGGGGACGCCTGGGGGGCGGGGCTTAGTTGCAACGAAGGGCGGGACTAGAAAGAGCTTGAGAGGCGGAGCTAGGAGTGTAAGAGAGGGGCGGAGCTGGGGAAGCTTTGAGGGGCGGAACGTGGGCGGGGGTTGCGAAGGCCTTGAGGGGGCGTGGCCGGGAGGACACTGAGGGGCGGGGAGGGACGTGAGGGGCGGGGCGAGACGTGAGGGGCGTTTCCGGAAAGGAGAGACAAGTCCTCTGCGAGGCGAACTTCTAGAAGGCGCTGGGAGCGCTGGGAACTAGGTCTTTCGGGACGGGGTCGGAGGAGTTATCCTGAGGAATCATTAGCAGGGAGGCGGTCCTGAGGCCAGCAAGCGTGGAAGGGAGAGCGCTCACCACTGCCTCAGAGCCCCAGCTCCTCACCACGCATGCGCGCTCAACGGCCTCCAGCGAACCCGCCAAAAACCCTGAGCCAACTGAGGAGTTCGCGCAGCCCCGGAAGTGGGCGGGGCCTCTGGCGCTCCGTGCCACCTCCTCTTTCTGGCCACGCCCCGTCTGGCCACGCCCCCTCGCCCCACCCAGCCGCGCGTTCGGAGACCCGGCGCCGGGCCGCTGCCCACTGCCCACTGCCCACGTGGGCTTTCCCGGGGCGGGCTAGCAGTGGGCGCCGCTCCTTGGAGGCTGGGTGTGCCCGGCGCCTGCGGTTTCCTGTGGGAGGAAGTAGCCCACGGGCGCCCAGCGCCTCTCAGAGGCTCGCCAAAATTCAACCCCACTCGCTCCTCCACCGGAGGGAGACAGGTGAAGCTGTCTGCTCAGCATGAAGATTTACCGTCTTGGAAATGACTCTGCGGTCGTGGGTTCTCATTTTTCCAGGAGTAGACAGCCGCATCATTCTTCCACCGCACCGCTG